ATTATATATCCATATAATTAATGTGAAAGTTTCATATGTATACTAGGTGTCACCAGATAGTTTGTCCACTTTTTGTCACACCAATATCTGAAGAAGAAAGCTATATCGACATATATTGTTAAGAAAATAATTACTCGAAATAGCTGATTTAATCAAAATCTGTTGTCAAATCGCTATACCTAGGAGTAGATATAGCATTTAAAAAACAAAAAAGTTATATAAATTAATTGGTTAACACAATGAGTACAATACATATTTTGGGAAATGATAAAATAGTTTTTAAAACCTATATATGTAATCAGAAAAATAATTTGGTTGATTTAATCAGATTGTAACTAAATCTCAGGTCAAAATATTTTTACTCGACGCAACCATACTGTATTTTGGTTTCCATTTCTAATGAAATGATGAGGTCAGTAGAACTAGTATGTGGTTAGAGTATATTTTTCCTAGTGTGGTGTAAAAAATATGTTTATTATTATAATAAATTGGAGTTTGTGTAACATCACAGAGATATATAAAAATTAAATTTTTGTGATGTTAAGATTTTAACAAAAACATAAAAAAATTTCTATGTTTTTGATTTTATAGTAGTTTTCAATGGAATACAGTAACTTAAAAATTATTATTGAACTATCAAATCGGATGACTAACATAAGTGTTATAAAATATAACATATGTAAACATATTATAAATATAATTTTAGAGAAGACAAATATTGAAAGATATACCTATTTCAGTTATTTTTCAAGAGGTGACAGTGATAGGAAGACAATAAAGCATCATATAATTTTTTATATATTATTTAGAAGAAGTATTCAAAGTTTCAAGGTATATTGAGAATAGCCCTAAAACATTTATAAAGTATTGTAAAAAGATTTATCGCATTTTCGAGAAATATTGTATTTCAATATTTTAATAAGAACATTCTATTTTATTTTTATTAAATATCATGTTTTTTTTTTTAACATTAATTATTTGGATTTACTCTCCATAATGGAAATTTTAATAACTTTTACTGAATATGTTTACATTTAAATATATTATTAGTAATACCTAGGAAACATTTAAAAGCAAAGCTTATATTTTATGACTATATATAAAAAATATATATGTTTGTATATACAAAATAAAAAAAAATTGACGCACTAATACAAATACACGTACTAATAGAAATGCAAATAAAATTGGCAGTAAACTACACAATTTACAAAAAATAATTTGCAACAAATCTATTTTGCTTAATAATAGTAATATTATTTTTTTTTATTTAATGGCTACACAATAAAACCGCCTAAAGCGCTCTAACAATTTTAATAAAAATCTCTCGCAACTTTGTAGATATGTTTTGTTGTTGTTTTCGAATTGCTCAATTGTTATTATTGTTTTCTGTTTTGGTTTTTGTTTTGGTTTTTATTTTTGTTACGATATTTAAAAATGGCTCTTATAATTTGGTGTTGAGTTTCGTACACTGCAGTGTTGTGTGGTGAATATTGAATTGAAATTTAAAATTTAAAGTTTAAAAAATATGAAATGTGGAATGTGAAATGTGATATGTGAAGTATTTCGACTGCAATTTAAAATGGAGTGTCTGCTTTGTAACAACTTTTTCCCTTTAAGTTTAAATTTAAATTTATTTTTTTTATTGTATATTCATTTTTTTTTCTGTGTTATTTGTACATTTAATAAAATAAAGTAAATATTGGTGCTCAAATTTTTTAAATTGTAAAACGTTTTTTGGTTTGTTTTTCTGATTTTTGTGAAAAAAAAACAATAGTGTAATTTCCCTATTTTCATGTAATATCATCGAAGTCTTTATTTTGATTTTAAGTAATTTTGCTGAAAATTATCTATTTCTATTTTATTTAAAATTTAGATTCTTTTATTTTGATTTTTAAATATTTAAATCCTTTGGCTAATAAGTTTAATTTACTACTTTGTTTCCCTCGCTTATTAACGTGTATATGTGTATATATATACTCGTATGTATATTATTAAAACTATCTAAAATATTCAAATTTAAATGCAATCAATTCATGATTTCTTTCTTAATTTAAATGCATATAAAGCTTAAATATTGAGCTAAAATTGAAACAAGTAAACATTATTAAAATGTTGACAAAAACTTAACAAGAACTAAATCTTAGTAATATTTATATTATAATTATTATTATTATTATTATATATTTTGTTTTAAACTGTAATCACACTTTTCTTTTAAATTTTTAAGTAAGTTTTTTTTTCAAAATTATTTTCTTTTATAAATACTGTTAATTATTTATAGCATTAACATATAATATCTTCTTAATTATTGTACGTTTTTTATTTGTTTGTTATTTATTTATATCATATATCTGAAATAAATCTTTAAGTATTTTAAACTTTCAATTCGTTATCTGTTTTAGATTGAGTCTCTTTATCTTCCTAGTGGTTTTTGATTCATTGCTAATTGTCTTGCGGTTTCCACCTGAAATTCTTCCATTTGACAGTACACAAGATATCTGTCGTTGGGGTTTGCATGATGGTGAGAAAGTATATCGAGAGATAAAGACAGAAATTGCGAAACCTTAATTATTTGAGTTCAGTTCGAGTAAAAATAAATTTTGCAATTTGAATTTACACAAACATTAAAATACGCTATGCAGAGTAAAGTTTAAAACTTGGAAAGATTTCACAAACACTTCAAAACACAGACATTGACAGACAAAATGTAATGATGATGCAAATGAATTAATGGCAAATAAAAATTCATTGAAGCAGAATGATTACGATGAGTTAAAGAGAAGACCAAACTTAAAGCTATTTGAAATGGTTATGAAATCCTAAAATGTTAATAAATGAAAATTTTACTTAAACATTTTTTTAGTAACTAGTTTATATATATACCTAATTACAAAAAAAAAAAAACAATTTACATAGATACCAGTAATATATATTGCATATGTTTGTTCTAATGATTATATTGTAGCAGATAAAAGGAATTGCATATCTAAATAATAATAGCTTAATGTACTCAAAATATATAAATATATATAGGCAGAGAAAAACAACACCTACATGTAATTATAACGGATGGAAATAGAACATTACTACTGTCTTCGATTTGTACGGGTTTACAAATAAGCTAACATCTTATCTTTAAAGTTAAAATAAATTTAGATTTTCTGCTACCTTTCTACCCTTGATTACTGATATGGGGTTTCAGTCATTAAACCGTCGAGCTCAGTGGTTGTAATCTTTCACATTCCCAAGAAGGGGTTTTAATCGACTAAAATTACACACCATCGATGCTTTCCATTTGATACTAAAAAAAACCATAAGTATTTAGTTTTGGACTCTTAAATCTGGATAAACATCGGCGAACATGACGCGGACATAATTACTACGGTACTCCCTATCTGCTGTCGAAACCAAAACTAAGAAAAGCAATGGTAACGCATGAGAAAAAGGAGAATATTATAAAATAATATTAACCCAAAAAAATTACTTTATAACCTTATACCTGAGTGTAACTGTAATAAAACGGGCTTAATAGGTAATTATTTCTTAACTTGAATATGGTGCTCTTTTATATCGGTCGCTCTTTATGCCACTACTATTATTATTAGAAAAGAAATAGTACACTGCGAACCAAAAAGATCTTTTGTGCGCTTAGTCAAATTAGAGTTCATCTCCAAGTCCGTTGTCTTTATTCAAAAACAGTAGGGTACCTAGTATGAAATACCCTCCAAGGTATTTCTTCCACTTGTGCATTAGTACCTAGCATTCCCCTAGCACATGGCATGCGGTTTCTTCTCTTCTCAACATTATCTGCAGTCTGAGTTGGATTGGATGCCAAACTTTGTTAGGTGTTCATTCAATCTACAATGACCGGTTTGTATACCCGTAAGAATTCTAAGTTATACTTTGTTTGTGCTATGCAATAAATGAAGCTTTTTACGTTGTAAGTCCCTAAGAGGATTTTAGATTGTGATGTTCTTGGTAAACCTGCCTAATATAGTTGGGAAGCTAATAACTACAGTAGCTAATTTTCAACTGCTGATTTATGGGATAATTGTTAGTGGATATATATATTTATTATATATTTGTGTATAGCTTATATTTTAATTTTTTTTTTTAAATGTCAAAAAATTAAGATTATCTTATCTGCTTATCTGCAACAAGACAGCAGATGGCGTTGTAGTGCCAAATTAATAATAATTTTTAATGTGTTTAGTGTTTAATTTTAATTTCTATTTTATTTATATTTAAGGACACCTTTTATATTAAAATTAACTTATTTATTCAGTTAGTATAAGTAAGGACGTATAAATAAATACATATACATACAATATAAAACTTTTTTTTCTTCACTATAATGTATATTCCCATATTTTATTTTGTTTATTAATACTTTTCAGAACCTCGAACTAATTTTAAAGAATTTATTTACTTTAAAATCATTTATAATTTTTTGACATATAAATATAAATTAATGATTTATGTTACACATGGGATGATTATGATTGGTGTTGATTAACTATGAATGATTAAATTATATTTTAACTACAGTAACATACAAATTATTTAATTACATCAGCAAATTAATAACAAACTACAAAATTTCTGGAGAATACAAATAATAAAATGTACTAATGATGATTGATGCTGTGGTGATTGAATTGCAAATATGTAACACATAAATTCCATATCAAATATTATCTCAGTTGAAGTAATCGAAAAACGCAATAAATATTTCTTATACGTATATTTGCATTGGATCAAATGAAAATGTTATTGCAATATTCGGAAAAAATTAAAAAGAAAAACTAAATAATTAATTAAACAAGATGATGTGATATAATGGAAATTTAAGCGCAACAATTCAATAAAAACAATATCAAAGTAAAGTAAACTGAATTAATGAAGGATAACAATTACTACAATGCAGCAGAGTGATGGAAATTGAGGCTTCATACGACTGAACACCATACAAAGCAAAAGTTGTGAATACTACTCACCTAGCGGGTAAAATTAAAGCATCGAACTCTGTGGAAAGATGACGACGAATTATATTTTTCGACGGTGGTACGCCCAGCGCAGTTGCCATGGTGTCACCTGAAAATGATGGCTCAAGCACAACCAAGCCACCATGCACTCCGCTGTCTGTAAGTGTAATTAAACGAAGTTAAATGGCGCCGAACAAACGGATATGCTTTAATAAATATTTTATACGAAAAATTGTTTTTATTACTTTTAACGCAAATGTTCCACAATTAATTTAAAATATGGTAAAAATCAAAGAGATTTTGAAATAAGTATTAATTTTAAATTATATTCATTAACTTACCTTTTAAATTGTCAGCATATTCGCTTAGATCAATGGATCTGGCCCAACGTATGAAACGTTGATTAGTCCAGACAATTGGATCTGTGTCAACAGTTTCTGATTGTACTCTTCGCATAGCCAAAGTTTGACGATCATATTTTACAATACGTAACACATGTATGCCTAACATAATAAATTTATATCGGTGAAAATTAATATATTCATAATATTTCTTCCTCCATAAGAATATAATATATAAAAATTTAGCTTCACTTACCATGTACAATACTGGCTTGATGGAATTTTCTTGTGACACCCAAAAATTTCTCGAGTTCTTTCTTAGACAAAGTATCTAACATACGTGCATCGACCAACGAGTGTATGAAAGACTCGGCATACTGCGGTAAACCTATATCTGGTAACCATTCTGAAGCTACCCAGGTATGACCCAGCTGTGTAATCATTGGATAACGTACTAGTTCTGGGCGTCGCTGCTCTTCAATTGCTAAACGTAACTTTTTACGGTGCATTGGATGTGTTAAACCTAAACCTGCTTCCAATTCTGCGTCATTTAATTCCAATAATACTTTACCACTTTTCACATTTTCAGCACAACGTGTGCTATATTGCGGCATACCAAGTGCCACTTCCAGCCAAGCCAAAACTTGGGTGGCACGCCAACGTTCCATAGGCATTTGTGATGCTTCACGTAATAAACGCAATTTTTCTGCATAACCTTCTTCAGTTAAAGCACTCCAAGAGTAATCATTATCTACAATTAATAACGTGGTTAACAATAATAATAAAAAAATAATTAAAATGATTTTCAATTACATTCCATCGCTCCATCTGCGGAAAGTGCTTTATTTTTATTTCTTGATCTGGCAAAAACTCGTGATATGCTACCCCATGTACCTCCACGACCATTACGTGCACTTATAGTACCAGTTTTTGGTGCAAATTTACGGACTACTGCACCAGGACCATCAGATTCAACAGGTGAGCCAAGTTGCTCAACAGAACTGAAAGTAATTTCAAAAGGACTAAAATATGTTCTCTTAATTCAAAAAAATTTTTAAGTAATTTACCGAGAGTAAGCTGCAGTATTTAATGGTGATAATGTTGGACTACGTTCCTTTGGTGTGCCATCTATGGAATAAACCAATTTTTCTAACTTTTTTGTCTTTCATTAATACATGTAGTATACACTTACATTGATACATATTCTGACTAGAAACTAAAGAAATGCTGTCTGGATCTACGGTTATGCATGGTCCATTATCGCAAGTGCCATCACTGAAATTTAAATCACCACCTGTACTTTCACGATCACTGCTATTACGAATACCAGAATCATTTGAACAAGAATTTCGATCACCAGCCGTAGCACCAGAACCACCACTTAAACTGCTACTGAAAGCAGATAATGAATTCGAATTACCGCGTCCACTGTCATCTCCACGTAAATTACTATTAACACCACTAGCACCTGTCATTTGATTAACTAAACCTGAAGCGGCTGATGGTGGTGTAAGTGGTGCAAATGATAACAGACTTTCTTGATCCGACAGGCAACCGGAAAGTTGTCGTCGTGCTTCCTGCAATTGATCCTGTAATCTCTGCAATTGCATATCGCGTTGATTTAATTGTTGTGCAAGCGCTAATGAACGTTCAGCCTCATCTCGTGCTTGCTTGAGTAACTGCCAACGTTCACGCTCTCTATCTCCTGTTAGTTTAGCATTATTTGATTCACTTTCACGAACGCGATCTTGAAAATTGCGTATAAAATCACGTAATTCCTGTTCTTTATCTTGTAATGATGAACATAACTGCTTTACTTGTCCCAACAAATCACTTTTATCTGAACGTAGTTTCTTTCGTTCAATACGCAATGACATTATTTGACTTTTCGCAGAACGTAATTCGGCTTCCAACCGATCAACACGTTGTTGTGGTGTGCCACCACTGCCATCAGTTGATTGTGCATCACCCGAATCAGATAAATCTATTCCACCTACGGCGCCATCTGTGGAGTTTTCTAGCAATTTGCGCAGCCTTGAAATTTCAGTATTCAGTCGCTCATTTTCTTCACGCAGCTTTGTTGGTGAATCTATAATGGGAAAGAGTAACACGATTTATATATTAAATATTGTTTTAATTATTATTATTTTATATAAAAATGTTTCAAATTACAATACCGTAAATAATAAAGAACTTATGTTATATAGCTATATAAGTTACAAAGAGGTAGTATGAGTGTAGCCTAGCTCGTTTTGTATCAAGGGTTTAGGATTTATTATATTATATTAATTATTATTAATATATTAAATATATATCAAATTAAAAAAATTGTTATGTTTTTGTAGTGTTTGTGTAGTGCACTAATTTTTATTATTCTGTATTATATTTTCGTCTTTATCCTTCTCACTAAATCCGCCACTGGATGATAATAATTTTTGTTGTAACAGATTTCATTTTAATGGCGTTTTCGTTTGATAAATCTGGATTTAATCTAGATTTACTCTCGATTTGTTAAATTTTGTTGCCTTATCGAATATTTTTAGAGCAATCTGACACTTTTGTAGTAGTATTAGTTTTTATATTTTCATATAAAGATATATCGTCATATAAAACTCTGGCAAAATATCTAAAGTATAATAATTTAATCTCAATTATTATGTATTTTATCACAGTTTTACAATCGGAAATGAAAATTGCACTAAAAGTGTATTAAAGGAGCATCTCGATGAAAAAAACTACCCCAATTAACAATTGATAACGCCATAAGTCCATACATCCATACATTTTTCACATTAAACTTCTAACGATTTCTGTTTTGTAATCGGCGGAGCTTCATCGCAATTACACTGGTAATTAAATTTGTAATTAAAATTACAATTATATGTAAAGAAGCATTAGTAATTTGCAGTACATTCCAAATGTAATCGAATAATTCAATTATTCTTACAATTCCTTTAATAACGAATGTAAATTTCTGTTCCAAATTACAATTATCTGTAGAAACCCCCCAGCTAAGAAAGAGTAAAAGTGCACAGTTGCACTGACTCAGAAAAATCTCGACATAAGATAAATTACAATTACTTACTACTAATAATAAGTAGTTAATTCAATTACAAAAGTAATCAATACTTTGCAGTTCTGTCCATAAATACAATTATTAGTGTGTTATGGTGATATATTTCTATTGTATCGTATATACCATAATTTATATATTTACTAGCTCTTCAATAGATTATTGTTTCATTTAATTTTTATTATAAAATAATTAATTAATCATTTTTTAATTACTTATAACTCAGAATATGATTCATGCAATAAACAAAATGAAAAGAAACCCTTAATGCTAAGAAGTATATTAAGTAAGAGTGCAGGCAGCTTATCACAAACTTAAATAAAAGTAATTAAACTCGTAACTTAACAACCAGACAACAACTGTTCCAGGCAAAATCACAAAATCAAACGAGTCCTTTCAGCAGAGTTGCTGCTACTTTGGAAATAAAATAAAATGGAGCTCAAGGAAATCAAGCGAAAATGATGATTTGATTCGGGTTAATAAGAGTAAGAATGTTGAAGGGAAATAAATACAAATATGAAAATAGAAATAAAAATAAAAATCAAAATCAAAATATGAATAAAAGTAAAAACGAAAGTAACTGGAAGACTTAAGACTTACCTGGATGTAAATTGAACTTTGACTCGTCATTACGATTTCCATCACAACTGTTGCTATTGTAGTTGTTGGCAGTGGAAGGAGCTATTGGCATCATTGCGGTTATTATTGATCCCGACGAGGATGTTGCTCCTAAATCCATTAATTTAACAATCGAGCAGACATCGTTCGCATTTTTCTTATCAACTTTTTTATGTGTTTTTTTTTGGATTCGTTCGTGATTTTTTTTTTATTTAGATAAAATCAATTTTAAGTTCAATTCAGTGCAGTTCGATGGAGTTGAGATGCGATTTTAGTAATATAAATGATGTATACGGCAATACAGAATAGTAGGAGACGGGAATACGAATACGAATATTGTTACGAGTACATAGAGGATGATACACATTCAGTAGGCAAGCATTTGAATTACAACAATAATAACATCAATGAAATAACATAACATAAGTAATAATAACAAATTGCTATAATTATGGATTTGTAAAAGGATACCTCAAATTTGATTGATACTATTTTGAGATGATAGATGGTAAATATGTATACTATGTAGCGATTTAAGTAGAAATATGTATTATTATTTGAGTAAGCTGAGTGTATGTAATATGTAGGATTGTAAATTAATTGGTTTTGGTTTTTGTAGATTACATCAAAAATTGACGAACCCTTTTATGGTGTTGTGATTTTTAATGTATTTTGAAATTTGTTTAAATTTCTTGAAAATAAATATATTATAAAATAACAACATATATAAAAAATAAATAAAAAAATGATATCAAAAAATATTTACTAAAAGTAATTCAATATTTTAATTTAATAATAATTTTGGCTGTATTCAATTAATTAAAATAATATAAAATGAATTTATGTTGTTGTAGTTCACTACTGTTCGAAAAAACCTCTTTATTTAATAATAAACAAAATAATAATAAACAAAAATTAAAGAAAATAATTTAAATTTAAATTTTTGGTTTTCAGTCTCACTGGATTTTGTTTGATTATTTAATAAACAAATCTAATGAACTTATTTTATTTTATATTATTTTTAGCTATAAAACTGCAATAATGACAACGAAAGATGGGCACATTTTTAAATTAATTATAATTTTAGCTACCTGAAAAAGACTCTTAAAGGAGATCAAAATATGGGTTATATTTATATGTACACATAACAAGTTTGTATTCATATAATAAGGATGCTTACATATCAGGCCTAAGAACATAACAAAATTTCATAGTAACTCAGTTGTTCAGCCCAATGCTGTGAGTAACTAATTAGTTATTATTATATTATTATGTTTGTTGGATTTGCTTTAACCCTATTTCAGGATCTAAAGAATTTCCCCAAATCCATACCTTCCTATATAAACTGTTGTATGATCATCTAGTAAGCAGTCCAGCCAAATTCTGTGAGTAACTCATTAGTTATTATTATATTATGTTTGATGAATTTGCTTTAGGCCCTATTTCAGGATCTAAAGAATTTCCCCAAATCCACAACTTCCTATATAAACTACTGTATTGATCAGCTAGTGATTATTAGCTAAGCAGTCCAGCCCAATGCTGTGAATAACTCATAAGTTATTATTATATTATTAATTTGGTTTAGGCCCCCTTAAAGAATCTAAAGAATTTCCCCAAATCCACGCTTTCCTATATAAACTCTTGTATTGATCAACTAGTAATTATTAGCTAAGCAGTGCAGCCTATTATTATTATTATTATTAAGTTTGATGACTTTACTTTGAGAAGCCTTTAAGTACCTAAAGCATTTTTTCAAATCCATCTTTCTTCATAAACTGTAGTGTTGAATCTACATTATAAATGATTATTTCTTCGCAAGATACAACTACCTTTACCACCTAGGTACTTCTTTCGTTTGTACATAGTGCCGGGCAAGCTCCTAACACGTGCTTCATTTGGTTCCCTAAAAAACCTACAAGTTTCGTTAGAGTTAGTTTCTAGTTTTGTGAGGAGTTAGAATATTAACTTAGTGTGAGGATTCCTTTAATGATTTTTAAATTATTTCTACTTAATTGCAAACAATCCTTGAACCGTTTGAAGCTGAAAGTCCCCATGTGTGGTATCGATTCTAATATCCCTGATAGATTATACCATTCTAGCTTTCTTTGTTGCTCCTCTTCTTTCTGAATGGTTAAAATTTATATTTTTTTCCAACTACAAATTATATAATTTTAATTTGTGCATTAAAATTAAATCAACAAATTTAGCTTCTAACTAAGACTTTTGTTTAAACTTTAAATGCAAGTTCCAAAAAAATATACAAACGATTTAATTGCTTAAAATCCAATTCTTACAAAAAATTTCCATGGAATTTATAATATTTTAATAAGATTTTTGTTTTTCAGAAAAACCCTCTGGAATTCAGTGCTATTCCAAACAACGAGCATTCTGTATGGCATTAAGAAAATCTGTTTAACGTTTCCAAATCTCGACATAATTAATATAAATGGTGCGCAGAGGGAATAATTTTCATATGGTGACGTTTCAGTCAAAACATCAACAATTTTCATGTGAATTAATAAGTTTTGGTATGCAAGAATTTTGACGTCTTTGAGCTGAGAGTAAAATTTATAATCTCGTATGATGTTCACGTCTCAGCAAAGTTATTAAAAAGAAAAATTTAATTAATTTTCTCCTTCATTATTATAAGACAGATTGGATTCAGAATAAATTATATTTTAATTTTAAATCTTATATAAACAATTTTATTTCTAATTGATGTATTAAATATAAAATTTTTTTTATTAAAAAATACGTTTGAAGTCTAATGCAAATAAGTAATCCCAGTTCAGTTGTTTAGGTGCGTTTTTACAAATGATATACAATATTAAAACTAAATTTATATTTTAAAAAAATTATAATAAAAATAAAAAACTATTAGAATTGGTTTTACTAAAGCTCAATATCAATGAGAAAGAAGAAAAGAATGAGAATATATATAGAGGTAGAGGTAAACATTATTTTCGCCGAAGAGGAGAGCCACGTCTGGTCGAAATCCGATAACTGGTTGTTATGTTCAATTAAGTAAATAAGTTTGGATCAAAATATTTTGTATGGCTTTTAGTTTATTTCTAATTGATGTATTAAATATAAAATTTTTTATATTAAAAAATACATTGAAGTCTAATTGCAAATAAGAAATCATACTTCAGTTGTTTAGGTGCGTTTTTACAAATGATATACAATATTAAAACTAAATTTATATTTTAAAAAAATTATAATAAAAATAAAAAACTATTAGAATTGGTTTTACTAAAGCTCAATATCAATGAGAAAGAAGAAAAGAATGAGAATATATATAGAGGTAGAGGTAAACATTATTTTCGCCGAAGAGGAGAGCCACGTCTGGTCGAAATCCGATAACTGGTTGTTATGTTCAATTAAGTAAATAAGTTTGG